TTCTTCATATAGTCCAGTTTCTCGGATTATTTGCACAGCATACAGATTGAATAAGTATGATGAAAGGGTACAACCCTGACACACACTTTTCCTGATTTTAAACCATGCAGTATCCCCTTGTTCTGTTCGAACAACTGTCTCTCGATCTATGTACAAGTTCCTCATGAGCACAATTTAGTGTTCTGGAATTCCCATTCTTCGTAATGTTATCCATAATTTGTTATGATTTACACAGGCAAATGCCTTTGCATAGTCAATGAAACATGGGTAAACATCTTTCTGGCATTCTTTGCTTTCAGCCAGGATCCATCTGATACCAGCAATGATATCCCTGGTTCCACATCCTCTCCTAAATCTGACTTGAACTTCTGGGAATTTCCTATTGATGTGCTGCTGCATCCACTTTCGAATGATCTTCAGCAAAATTTTACTTGCGTGTGGTATTAATGATATTCTGGATAATTTCTGCATTCAATGGTATTACCTTTCTTTGGAAAAAGCATAAATATGGATCTCTTCCAGTTGGCCGGTCAGGTAGCTGTCTTCTAAATTTCTTGGCATAGTAGAGTGAGCACCTCCAGTGCTGCATCCATTTGTTGAAACATCTCAATTGGTATTCTGTCAATTCTGGAGCATTATTTTTTGCCAATGCCTTCAGTGCATCTTAGACCTCTTCCTTAAGTACCATAAGTTCCTGATTGTATGCTACCCCCTGAAATGATTGAAAGTTGACGAATTCTTTTTGCTATGGTGATACTGTGTATTTCTTCAATCGTCTTTTGGTGCTTACTGCATCGTGTAATTTTTTCCCCATAGAATCCTTCACTATTGCAACTCGAGGCTTGAATTTTTTCTTCAGTTCTTTCAGCTTGAGAAATGCCAAGCATGTTCTTCCCTTTTGGTTTTCTAACTCCAGGTCTTTGCACATGTCATTATAATACGTTACTTTGTCTTCTCAAGCCACCCTTTGAAATCTTTTGTTCAGCTCTTTTACTTCATTATTTCTTCCTTTTGCTTTAGCTACTTGACTTTCAAGAGTAAGTTTTAGGGTCTCTTCTGACGTCCATTTTGGTCTTTTCTTTCTTGTCTTTTTATTGACCTCTTGCTTTCTTCATGTATGATGTCCTTGATATCATTCCACAACTTGTCTGGTCTTCAGTCATTAGTGTTCAATGTGTCAAATCTATTCTTGAGATGATCTCTAAATTCAGGTGGGATATACTCAAGATCATACTTTGGCTCTCATGGACTTGTTCTTGATTTTCTTCAGCTTTATCTTGAACTTGCACATGAGCAAGTCTGTTCTGCAGTTGGCCCCTGGCCTTGTTCTAACTGGTGATATTGAGCTTCTCCATCTTTCTTTCCACAGATGTAGTCGATTTGATTCCTGTGTATTCCATCTGGCAAAGTCCATGTGTATAGTGGCCATTTATGTTGTTGAAAATAGGTATTTGCCATGAAGAAGTCGTTGGTCCTGCAAAATTGTATCATTCGATCTCCAGCATCTTTTCTATCACCAAGGCCATATTTTCCAACTACCAATCCTTCTTCTTTGTTTCCAACTTTCACATTCCAATCACCAGTAATTTAAATGCAACCTGATTGCATGTTTCATCTATTTCAGATGAATATCTTCAATTTCTTCATCCTTGGCCTTAGTGATTTGTGTGTGAATTTGAATAGTCGTGTTAACTGTTCTTCCTTGTAGGCATATGGATATTATCCTATTGCTGACAACCTTGTACTTCAGGACATATCCTGAAATGTTCTTTTTGATGATGAATGCAATGCCATTCCTCTTCAAATTCTCATTTCTGGCATAGTAGGCCATATGATTGTCCAATTCAAAATGGCCAGTACCAGTCCATTTCAGCTCACTAATGCCTAGGATATCGATGTTTATGTGTTCTATTTCATTTTTGATGAGTTCCAATTTTCCTAGATTCATACTTTGTACATTCCATGTTCCAATTATTAATGGATGTTTACAGCTGTTTCTTCTCATTTTGAGTCATGCCACATCAGCAAATGAAGGTTCTGAAAGAAGGATATCATGCTTGGTAAAGTAGAGGGTCAATGAAAAAGAGGATGACCCTCAACAAGATGAATTGACACAGTGGCTGCAACAATGAGCTCAGATACAACAATGGTTATGAGGAGAGCACAGAACCGGGCAGTGTTTCATTGTGTTGTATATTGGGGTGCTATGAGTCGTAACTGACTCGACGGCACCTAACAACAACAGCAACATTCTGCTGTGTGTGTATATATATATATATATATATATATATACATATGTAAAAAACCATTCACCTGTTGGTGAACATTTGAGATTTTGTAATACTAAAAATGCTAAATATATAATATTTACTAAATACCAAAAATATTTTTTGACTATTACAAATAAAGGTGCTATGAACATTCATGTACAAGTCTTTGTATAGATATTTGCTTTCATTTCTCTTAGGTAAAATGTTGTGGAATGATTAGGTCACGTGGTAGATGTATATTTAACTTTTTAGGATACTGTCAAGTTATTTTCCAAAGTTGTTTATCATTTTACATTCATTTCAACCATGTATGCGAGTCTAGTTGGTTTACATATTGCCAACACTTGGCATGGTTGGTATTTTTAATTTTAGATATTCTAATAGGTGGTAATGGTATCTCATTGTAGTTTTATTTTACGTTTAATGACTATATATTGAACAGCTTTTGATGTTTTTTGTTACTAATGAATGTCTTCTTTGGTGAGGTGACTATTCAAATCTATTGTTATTTTTTAAATTTGGTTGTTTGTTTTCTTATCATTGAGCTTTGAGTGTTTTTTATAAATTCTGTTTATGAGTCTTTTATCAGATATGTAATTTGCAAATATTTTCTCCCAGTTTGTGGCTTACATATTCTTTTTACAGTGTCTTTCAAAGAGCAGAATATTTAATTTATTATCTTTTTAAGTTTTATTGACAATGCTTTTGGTGTTACGTCTGAGAAATCTTTGCTTAACTTCAAATCCAAAGAATTCCCCCTAGGATTTCTTCTAGAAGTTTTATAGTTGTAGGTTTTACATTTAGATCTATGATCCATTTTGAATTAACTTTTATATATGGGTGTGAGGTGTTGTCTGCGTGCACATGTGTGCATACACACAGTTTGTGTCCTTTGATGAATTTTTATTTTATTTTTTCTAAGTTGTCAAATTTATTGGCATAAAGTAGTTCATAATATTCCCTTGTTATCTTTTTAATACCCATAGAATCTCTAGTGATATCATCTCCACATTTCTGATTTTGGTAGTGTCTTCTCTCTCTCTTTCTTTTTTTTTTTTTTTTCATAATCTCAAAGAATCAGCTTTTGGCTACATTGCCTTTCTTGTATTGTTTTTTCCACTTGCTATTTCATCGTTTTCTTTTCTAAGCTTTACTATTTCCTTTCTCCTGCTTACTCACTGTTGGTTTTACTTTTGTTTTTATTGTTTCTTAAGGTAGAAGCTGAAATCATTGAGATGAGGCCTTTCCTCTATTTTAATATTGGCATATAGTGCTATGAATATCCCCTCTGAGTATTCTTTTAGCTGCATCCCACAAATTTTGTAGTTTATTTTCATTTGGTTCAAAGTACTTTGAAGTTCCTTTCTGATTTCTTTATTTGACTAATGGATAATTTAGAAATGTA